TTTCCTCGATATCCGTTGTACTGTTTAGAAAATAGTTTTCTAGGCAGGGGTCACTTAAGTACTTCATCTATTGTCTTCATTCACACTCGACTTATTTAAACAACATGATATCAATGCGTCTATTACATAGGTCCATCTAATTATTTCTTATTGATTGTAAAAAATTCAAAGATTCATTTCCTGTCTTTCTTTTTCTCTACATTATTTTGAATCAAATAATAAAACGACTTGGTCAAAAAAATCTTCTTTGTTAATCTTTGACTTCAAATTATATAAGTAGGAAAACATCTCACAAATTCAAATCGATTTAAGCGTTAAAACATAAAAAATTGTCTTTCTTTGATATATATTTAATATCGTATAATGGTAGGCGGAAGAAAATTACAGTTTGAATACAATATTAAATATTTATAAACCTTAGGCTTCTTTCTCTTAATAAAAAATGAGCAATTTTTTCTATGTTTATTGACGTGTTCAGTCATTCTTTATCATTGTTCAAGTGGCAAAAGTTAAGACAAAACATTAAATCTTAAAAAGAATGTCTATTAAAAGACTAATGTGAAACTTATTGTGTTATTTTCAATTGAATTTTACCAATTTACCGTTAAAATTGACATCTTATGTCATCATATACTGATATTCAATTTATAGGAAGTCTTTATAAATACTTAAATTTAACAAACAAAGAAAGAAACGAAAAAAAAAAAAAGAAAAATTTATGTCATAGATTCACGTAAACTTATTGTTGTAGTTGCCAGTGGTTTGATTTGATAAAAAACAGCATAATCAAGATTTCTTCTAGGAAAAAGAATTTCATGTACTTGTCTACGAAAACTTCTTGTTGAAATATAATATATATAAAAACTAGATACTGGATTTGTATAAAATAATACCGAACATATAACATGATAAAGAAAAAAATACGATTTTTGATTACGATTATTTCCATTAAATAAAACATAATAACATTGTTCAATACAATATGGAATTGATGATAATATAATTGCTAATGATAATAATAAAAGCATACGAGATAACTGTTTATCACTATTTATCATTCCATAATGATTTTTTCTTCTACTAATTATTTTTAATTGTTTAAGTGTTAACAAACCAAATACTGAAAGAAAGATAATTGGTATTATACCATGAAGAAATATTTGAAATGTATATAAATAATAATATAAATAAATATTTGATTCAATTATACAAATTCCTTCTGTTGAAACACCATAATATTTAATAATTGGAATAGCATGTAATCCGAATAAACAGATAACTAATAAAATAATAGATTTTGCTTGTTTTTTTGTTGTTATTAATTTTCTAAGACGAACTTCTCGTGATGATATTAAATATCGATCGAACGTAGCTAAACAAACGCATGTTAATGATGTTAAATCAAATGTATTTAATATATAATAACGTAGTTTACATATAAGAAGTGCATTACTTTCTTTTATATGATATTCATAGCCATCAAGTAGGATTCGGGTTAATAGTGGATAAATAATGACAATTAAATTTGATATTGAAGAACTAAGTAAATATAATGAACTATTACTTGTACGACAACAATGAGAATATTTTGATTTTTTTGTTAAACGACACCATTTTGTAAAAACACAAATATTTAAAATATTTCCAACTGAACCAAATACATACATTAGAATACCAGCAAATATCATTAGCCTACGTGAAATATGTTCGACTTCCGTCATCTTATTGAAAACAATATTGTATTGACAAAAAATAGTCTCTTTTATAACTCTATATATATATATATACGTTAAATTTAATAGAAAAAAAAAAAAGAAATATGCCATTAGGGAAAAAGAAAAAAATGTCTCGTTAAGCAACTGACTTGGAAAAGAATTGTTTCCTCAAAGCACACATCATTTTAATGATAGTGCAATAAAGCAATGAACATTCAAAGCTATGATAAATATTATCATATTTTTCTTTCATATCTTATTTAAGTGCATCGGTTACTACGAACAATCCTAATGTGAAGCTTTGAACAAAAGATAATACGGAGGTTTTCGAGTAAAACTATTTTTTAAGAAAACGAAAAAAAAGAAATTTATCTAACAAAAACTAATAGTTATTTCATCAATATAATATTATTATCTTGAAAAAAAAAAAGATCTTATGTCATTTTTGTGATGCTATATCGAGAAATAGCCATAGGTGTAATATGATAATTTTTTTTTCTAAGATTATAAATAAGTATGAACCTTATAAAGACATATTATCATTATATATTAATTAATTAATATAATTCTACAAAAACATATTGTTAATAAGTATCAACGAATATCATAATCTTCATTCGAAAATTATTCTATTGTTGATAGTTAGACAAATTCTTTATAGAATAAATGATATTTAAATTGTATTAATTAAATAAATAAAATAAGAATTCTAATATATTAAATATTCATATCTAATATCGTTCTTAATTTGATTATTCGGAAAATAATATATATATATTGCTTACTGTTTTCTCTTCTACATTTTCTTAATGTTGACTAATTTTTGTTTTCGATTTTCTTCTTGTTATCTATTCTATTTTTTTCTATGAGTGAAAATTTTAGGAGAAAATTTGGTTTCTGATTAATTTCATCAAAAAGAGAAAGAAAAAAAAAAACTAATCATGTTAACATTGTTTTTTAATAATTTAACAAAATTCTCATAGTATAATCAATTATTCTATTTATAAAAACATTCCAGGTATAGAATTGTATGATTAGAAATTTATATTTTTTTTTGTTTAACTCAAATAATTATGTTAATTATTAAATAGGAAATAAACTTTATAGGTTATTCTGCTTTCTTATTTAATCATCGTAGCATATTCAGGCACTCAGGTAAATGTCGATTTTCTATTTTGAACTATCATAATTCATTGAATATATATTCTTTTTTCATTGATTATTCAGTTCAATGGATCATTAGTGATCAGCTATAACCTTGACGTCAGCTGTGTTCTTTCAACAAGACGAGTAGAGCACATAACGAGGCATCGATCTGACCTATTTAATGGATTTATACAATTAAGAAATATTTATCCATTATAAATCTGTCAACCTATCATAAGATGACACTCTGAGAGATCGATACCTTCGAACATCTTATTTACGATGGATAAAATTTGTAAAATTCCTATCAATCAATATTTTGATCTCTGGAGTTATGTTTTCTGCAAGACTTCATTTTCCAGCTGTTGATACCTTATCAAATATTTTTGTAGGATAGAAAATTCAAACATATGTAAAGTCCTCCACACATTACTCTTCTATTTAGTCTCTAAGAAGAAAAACATCATATATTTTAACAGTCTCACTAACAATTCTTATTTTTATCCAATACATCGTTAATAAACGAATTTATTTCAATTATTCTTATAAGTTTAAAATAAGAAAAAAATATGATATCCTGTGAAATACAATAGAGGCAGTAGCTAATAAGAAGAGTATTCTTACAAAAATAGTCAACATGTCCTAGCATCTTAATACAATACCTAATAGCACTCTTTTCTTTTTCGAAAGAAAAAGATCTGTCATTGGCAATATTTAACCATTTTCATAGCGAAATAACTGAAACAAGGAAAATTAAAAGTTTTTTTTTGTTAAACTTTTTTCAATCAGCTGTTTATTTTGGGATTTAAATAGTCCAGAGAAAATACGTTCAGAGTGAAATGTACCATTTGCAATAGTGATTAGTCCCAAGCTAACTTTAATGAGTATAGGAATCTCTGAGGAAATATTAAAAATAAAAATAGCCGTTGAGTGCAAATTCAATATTGTCTTTTGTTTGTTTTTTTGAAAAGAGTATTGAGATTTTGTTGGGAAAAAGAAATACGCTCTCAGGTTCAGAAAGAATATTTTATAAACTTAACCGGTATGTTTATGCCTGAAGATAAGTTACCTGCAATTATGAATGTTCTATTTTGTGATCAAAAGAACGTTTCTGAATTTCTAGCAGTACAAAGATGAGAATATCTTTTTATTAATATACAACAAGATTTTATTGAATATTCATGGAAACATATTTTTCTTGTATAGAGAATCGAAAGAATTTATTTTTCAATAGATAACGAAGCTTGTATGCTTCGCATAAAACAAAACATGTCTTTTTTTTTAATCTTAGATAAACGTAGATTTCTGCATGATATATCTTATCACTTAATATTTTTTTCTAATATATAAGTTTGATTATTTCCTTATGAAAGAATATATAAATAGAGAATTATTATAAATAATTGATAAAGTAAATGTGCCTATTAAGCATCGAGGAGAAAATGCTATGTTACCGTGTGATGTCAAGTAAATAATCTTATCTAATATCTAGATGGATTTTCTTTATTTGTTTTCATTTTGTCTTTTGTTTTTTTTTTCTCTATTTATTTATTATATTTACAAGTAGAATGATAAATTTCATTCAACTAATCTATTTAAGATTAGAATATTTTAATTATTTGAATAGTTTTAAAGGCAAAAAAAATAAACTAGTATTTCGATATTACTCCATCAACTACGTAATTCTTTGGTATTGAAAAGCGGAAAATCATTGTAGTTTAAACAACTTGAAAATAATGGAGAATTCAAAAGTTAAGAATTCATTATGTTTTTCAGGAATATTTGCAGATAAATATTTTTTTTCATTGTCCATTTTGACAACTTTTCGTAGTAATCTATGCTCAAATTATACCAAAATGTAGCAAGAGGAATGTTGTATTTCCTGTGAAATTATTCAATTATTTTTTTTCATCTTCACTGTGGACTTATGCTTCAAGAGAAGTATTTTGAAATCTTAAAATTTTATAAATAATGCAACTCTCTTTTGGATCACATTTCAGTGTAATTCAAGCTCAGGCTTCTACAAAATCTTGTAGAAATAAACAACAAAAACAATGTTTGTCTGCAAATATTTCTGATAAACTTCTTCGAACTTCATAAGTGTTACATAGATTGACGTCTCTGAAATTGTTCTATCTAATGGTGAAAATACGACTTCGGTCGTTATAAACAAATGAAAGGACAGAGGCGCATAAGAAGTCGATTTGGCCTATAGGATATTTTCAGTCACTTTATCGCCCATCCTATTCAGAAAAATGTATTGATACTTTTGATAATAATTTCAAGTCAAGCTGTAAGGATTATAAGCCACTTTGAGGGAGAATGCCTGCAAAAAAGTATTGAAGTTTCATTGGATTCATAGTTGTCTA